AGTCACGGAAGTGGCTTTTTTTTCGCGCAGTGGCTTGAACCGGCTGGACCCCATGAAAATTCTTGTTTATGTAGATCCTTATATATAGATATGTACATAAATACGTCATGTACAATATATATATATAATATATAGATAGATACTGTACATTATATATAATATGTACATTATATATAGATTTTGATACAATGTAAATATAATTGCAAGAGACTCCCAGTTTTTAATGTATTGTTTTTGTCGCAAGCCCCAATGACGGAGAAAACATCATCCAAGCATCATCCTGCAAACACTTTTCGGCATTTTATTTTTGGGTTCTCTACATATTAAGGAATTTCGTGAACCCTAATTTTAGCGAATATTCTGAGGGTGGACCCTCAATAAGCGTTTTGACTACATGAAAGCTCAAAATGGAAGGTTTTTGCGCTTAATTTTCGATGATTCTAAGTTGAAAACGCATATTGAGCAGGTGGTTTTCCCGGTGGTATGTGCAGGACCTTGCCCGGACATTCAACCCGCAAACATTGTCAGATCTTGCCATTCCTGAGCTTAAGGTTTATTCAATTTTCTGATAATGATTGCGCTATATGCGTTTTGAGTGCTTGGAGAGTGAAAAACAACATTTGCTGTTTTCCTTTTTGACAAATTAGACTGTAAATTTGCATATCGCCTGTTTGGAAGTGACGGAACCACAAAAATATTCACGTTCCTATATGCCAATCTGCGTTGATATAGTCATTTAAGTTTTATTTTTGTTGCAATGGAATCTCATTATAGCATGCTTCTCGGCTGGATGATCCTGAGCATCTTATCCGCTGGATGATCCTGAGCAGCATTCTCACAACTAAATGTTATTATCATTATCCCGGAAAGTCAAACGAACAAACGCTTCATGAAGAAACAACATATTCATGTTGGCATGCGGGCACCAATAACGAACAAACAAGTCTGAGGACAACCGCCCCAATCTTTCAAAGCCAAACGGTTTGAAGCGTTGCTGCTCTCAAATTTTGAAAAAAACGGTCCCTATAGTAAAATTCTGATGTTATCCTCCGAAAACTTTGGTGATATAATATCATGTGACATCCTGATGAGAAACTATATGCTGATCCTCTGGGCTGGTATCAGAAAATCCTGATGATATCCCCAGAGTTTATGGCTGGTAACGTGCTAAATTTCTGCTGAAATTTTGATGAGTCCATTCTGATGATATCCTTAGACAGGTCCGATAATCCTCACAAACTTCTGATGATATTTCCGATGATATCCTTAGAAAGGTTATGATGAGATGCTGGTGATATCCGCAGAAAACAGTCGCAATTTGCGCTGAAAATATCAGCTACAAAATATCCTCGGACTTTGTAGCTGATGTGTTGCAACAAAAACTGATCCTTGATTAGCATAATTTCATATATATATATATATCAGAACTTTTTTGATGGTTACCAAACAAACAATTCTGGAGATTCCTCCAAATTTACTGAGGAACCCTCAAAATTTTCGGAGAAGCCTTCAGATTTTCCTGAGGAATCATCAGCTTTTTTTGAGGATCCTCATCCTCACACTCTTTGAAGATCCTCAGAATTTTCTGAGGATCCTCATCCTCAGAATTTTCTGAGGAACCTCAGAATTTTCTGAGGATCGTCATCCTCAGAATTTTCTGAGGATCGTCATCCTCAGAATTTTATGAGGATCGTCATCCTCAGAATTTTCTGAGGATCCTCAGAATTTTCTGAGGATCTTCAGAATTTTCTGAGGATCGTCATCCTCAGAATTTTCTGAGGATCGTCATCCTCAGAATTTTCTGAGGATCCTCATCCTCAGAATTTTCTGAGGATCGTCATCCTCAGAATTTTCTGAGGATCTTCAGAATTTTCTGAGGATCGTCATCCTCAGAATTTTCTGAGGATCGTCATCCTCAGAATTTTCTGAGGATCCTCAGAATTTTCTGAGGATCGTCATCGTCAGAATTTTTTGAGGGTCCTCATCCTCAGAATTTTCTGAGGATCGTCATCGTCAGAATTTTCTGAGAATCGTCATCCTCAGAATTTTCTGAGGATCCTCAGAATTTTCTGAGGATCGTCATCCTCAGAATTTTCTGAGGATCGTCATCCTCAGAATTTTCTGAGGATCCTCAGAATTTTCACTCGATAAGCGTTTTTTTGTTTGAAAATAAGCGTTTTTTTGGCACATTTTCATGAAAAAAAACGCTTATTGAGCGAAAATTCTGAGGATCCTCAGAAAATTCTGAGGATGACGATCCTCAGAAAATTCTGAGGATGACGATCCTCAGAAAATTCTGAGGATCCTCAGAAAATTCTGAGGATCCTCAGAAAATTCTGAGGATGAGGATCCTCAGAAAATTCTGAGGATGACGATCCTCAGAAATTCTGAGGAGCCTCAGAAAATTCTGAGGATGAGGATCCTCAGAAAATTCTGAGGATGACGATCCTCAGAAAATTCTGAGGATCCTCAGAAAATTCTGAGGATGACGATACTCAGAAAATTCTGAGGATGAGGACCCTCAGACAATTCTCAGCATAAGGATCTTCAGAAAATTCTGAGGATGACAATCCTCAGAAAGTTCTGCGGGTCCTCAGAAATTTCTGAGGATGACGATCCTCAGAAAATTCTGAGGATTCTTTAGATTTTTTTTGACAATCACCAGAAATTTCGGTTAATGACAATTCCAATAATCAATGGATATATCCGGTGTTCGTCAGCACGACGATCGTTGCAAAAAAAAATCTCCAAGAGCAAAGTCAAGCACGAAGCACGGCCCTATTGTGTACACAGACAACACGCAGTGTGTTTTACTTGTTTTGTTGTTTTTCCCTGACCATCAAAGCTATATTTATTTTAAAATAGACCAAAGCATGATGATAATCATCAAATGTATTTGATATTCAATCACCAGATATATCCAGAGATTGTCAGAATGATGAGCCTTGGCAAATCTGATTCTCAAAGGAGAAACAAACACAAAGCATGCCGTTATTTTGTATACATACAGCACGCGCTGTTTGACTTGTTGTGTTTGCCTCTTTTTCCGTGCTCAAAATTACCTGATGCATGTCGCGAAAATGATATCCTGATAAACTCCTCATGATATCCTTCAAACGTTCTGATGATCATCTGTAAATCCTGATATTCTCGGAAATGGTTCATGATATCCTCAGATAAATCTGATGACCCTCAGAAATTTCTGAATGTATCCCCCAGAGGTCTGCTGATATCCTAGAATCCTAGAACATACTAGATGCTTTATGATGATACCGTCAGAGAATTATTTCTCAGAAAATTCTGATCCTCAGAGATTGTTTTATCCTTCGGAAACTGTGATGGTATCCGCAAAAACGAAATTTCCATCAGATTCCAAAAGTGACATCCTCCAAAATGCCCCATTTTATCCTTTGAACATGTTGCCATGTTGTTCATTTTCCTTTAAACAGTTTTATCATGTACATCCAAAAAATCTTGGAAACTGTCTTGATGTACGTTCAGGATTTTCTGACTGCCACAAGAACTTTCTCTTGATATAGGTTATATGTGGATATCCTGAGAGAATTCGGATGATATCCTCACACAATCCGATGGTATTTTTCCTCAAACCCAGTAAATCACATGGTTGATTGGTATAGCTGGCAGAAATCCGCCAAAATCTTATTTCACACTGAAAAGGGAAATTAAGGTCCTTGCCACCCAAAATACATTAAACACACATATTACACAAAAAATGGACCTCGCAACATGTACTATTTTTTTTCGATGGTTCCCTGCATTCATGGTAAATGTTGGTAAATGGGTTTTCCTGACATGAGTGGTTAGATTCCCCAATATGCGTTCATGGCGCACGATTTTTTTTTTTTGATACACCTTAAACGCATATTGACCCCCCCCGCTAACAGAATTGGACCATAAACGCATATTGGGCAAATAAACAGGACTTCACGAAAATTACTACTACATATATACTATTTTGTCTGGTTTCATTTTGCGAGTTCTGTTGCCAAAATTTACATGGGAAATCATGGAATTGGAATCCGGGGAAGAATTATCCAGCTGATTCTCAAAGTTAAAGGCGATCCCAGAAATCCACGCAGCAATCCAAACCATCAGTTGCCCTGGGGTGCACTAATACAAATGTGGAAAACCAATGATTTTCCAAGGAAAAAGATCGACAAACGGTGGGTTTCCCACATATTCTTTAGTTTCACTTTCTATTAACAGAGGTTGAAAGTAGGGATGCGGGAACACATATACTCAAACCACCAGCCATGGCAATGCTTTAATTCATACCCGAAAAAGTGTACTAAAATAACTATATGCCTTTTGTAAAACATTCCCAGCCATTAGGACCCATGGCCGGGTCCTAATTTGCTTGGGTCGCCACATCCAGCAAACAAAGCACATATGCTTGCATTCTCTATCCATCTATCCATCCATCTTTGTGCAATATATATATATATATATATGTACAGTATTACATTATATATACAGCATAAATGCATTATATCATATCTATCATATATAAATATGTATATTATACTTATCACATCTTATGTATATATATATATATACATATCTATTCAATGGGAATTTCAGGATCGGTACTGTACCATACAAGACCATATTTTGTGGTGATATTCCCTTACATAGGCCTTACATAGGCCTTATATATGGTAGGTACCTCCAATTTAGGTTCCTGAAATGGCCATTGATATATTTATCTATCTATCTTTCTTTCTTTCTTTCTATCTATTTCTAAATCTATTTCTATATCTGTCTCCATCTCTACATCTATCTCATCATGGTCAGTGCCCAACTCAATACACACGTCCTTGGATAATATCATATATACATATATACAGTACATGATGCGATAGATGAATAATCATATTCCATTGGTAGATCATGGAAACCATGTTTTTCACATCTATGTTCGTCTACCCTAGGGTAAATATACATACCAAACATGTAATTAGTAAATAATAACATATGTCTTATGTACCTATGTAAAAAATAGTGCACTTTGCAAAGATGGGAAAAAAAGGTACATAGAATTCATCAATTCTGACAGATGGATTCCATACAGATCGAGTCGAGTCACAGACTTTGCAAGTGAAGGAGTCGCACACTGCGCTCTCCTCTTCCACCACCTTCGCCTCGTCGAATGTCACGGATGTCCGAGGGGAAAGAGGTTAGTCGAAGCATGGTCAGTGAATATTTTCATATGATGATATAGAAAATATACTGTATGTTCTATAGATAATAAATGATATCATATAGAGCTATATATATAAGATTATAAAACCATAACCATGCTTAGTCGATCATGTAAACCATACCACAAAAACATCTAAGATACATAATCCGTCTGGGTAAATTATCATATTTCACTAACCTGAAGAGTTCGCTAACTATGGGGTTTGCTTTACGCAGATATGTAATCATCATATAATCATTATCATTCACAGATGATATATCTAGCATAAACCATAGAATTCAGCCCCTATAACTATACTTATATATGGTTATCTTGTATTATAGCAACCCACAAGATAAACAGTGGACCCTCCCTTTGGAGGACTCGAAGTTTATTCGAAAGTCAGGCGCGAAAGTCGTCTGTTTTTCGCTCTAACGCTTTTGATGGGGGGCAGTTTTTTTTTTTTTCGAATTTCGAATTTTATATATCAACATATAAAAACTATATAAACAAATTGGTGATAATGATAATGATATTACTAAGTAATACATCATAATGATAATGTTCATACGATATATAGTTGTATAATGTTGTAAAACTAGTAATGATAATTATCACGAAGTGCAAACTACAAGTTTATCTTCATTTATAGATCATGTGTATCACTAATTGCAAAAAAACTACATGGGTCAAAATCCGATACCTCCCAATGGGACGACAAATCTGAAGGACCAGTCCGTTTCAGTCCGTTTTTTTGGAGCCCTGGTTCTCCAATCTTGACCAACAAAATATGTCAAATGTTATCTGGGTAAATTATTCCAGACAACCTGAATAGTTCGGCCAGCTATGGGGATACGTATCCCCCTTGCCCTTACGAATTCTGGGTGAATCACTAGCCATGATTCCGAGCTCACAGCGAGGTCACTATAGTTGGATATTATCTGGTAAACATACAAAAAACCATTGAACATGGCCATAGAAATAGTTGATTTACCCAGCTATAAAATGGTGGATCTTTCCATAGTTATGTGTAAGTTTACCAGAGCGTATTTGCCGAGATTTTCTCTTGCAAAAGCCTGCGATATGATGGAAAATATGCCATAACCGGACATGAGACATAGTAGACATAGTATGTCGTATATGATGACTTTGCCATGATGTTCAAACCTGCGATGGAAATACCCTCTGGTATTTTGTGATGATGATGATGATGGTGATGATGATGATGATGATTATGATGATGATCATCGTCATCATCATCATGAATATAATTCTCATGATATCTCCCAAAGAGTAGATGGATACAACTGATACAACAGTATAGAACCATAGCTCGCTCCTTGGAAGCTCCCTTAGTTAACTTATTGTCTCTCAGCTGGGACCAGTAACTCAGTGTGACTCGGTACGACTGGGCCTCTCCAAGATCAAGGCTTTGTCGCAGAACATTGTTCGACGTTAGGTCGCCATGGATCACATCCTGAATTGAAAGATGGAGTCGATGGTGTTATCAGTTCCAGGGGCTGGGAAAACAACCAACGAAATGGAAGGTTGTTGCTGCTGGCAAAATCCAAAACTGCAGGCGTCCTTCCTAAAATGGGGGGTACCCCAAATTATCCAAAATTAGATCAGTTGAGTATTGAAACCCATAGATTTTCGGTTTTTCTCGCTGGCAACATCAACAGTTCGGCCACGTTCAGCCAGGCATCGGATGCATGGAGGTAGGCAGTGGCCTGATCATTAAAGTTTGGGGCCTTGCCCTTGGGGTAGTCATCCCATGGGAATGCTGAAAAAAGGGGTTAATCTATGTCTGGTTGGTACTTGAGCAACCCCTCTGAAAAATGATGGAGTTCGTCAATTGGGGTGATGACATTCCCAATATATGGAAAAATAATCCAAATGTTAATCTGATGAATTTCTAATTCTCTAGCCTGCAATAAGATGAAATAAGGTTTCCCATCTTCCTTAGCGGGCCCAAAGATGAAAAACAAGGCTATATTGTGATAGTTACCCTTACTGAGAATTAACCCCTATTGTTATTGTTATTACTTACACCTCAACCCCAGTGGGCTGTTACATAATTGGGCAATATGTGCCATGGTCCACTTACATGGGATTAATGTGGTGTGGTCATCCATTCCAGATTAGGAATCCTTATAGTGGTTATGTCAATCCTTATGAATGGATTGATGGCCATCCCCACTTATGGACACCTTGCCCAAGTAACTTGAACATGGCACATATGATTTAGTACTTAATACTCTGGTCACGGCAAAGCAACATGTTCACCTCCATGTAGCTGAGGATTAAACAACCAACCATGTCCGATGACACCGGAGAGTACATGTTTCTGTCAGAATTTTCCAACCAACCCTGAACAAAATCCGAACAGTTATCTAGGCTGTTCCAAATGCCCGCGGGCCTTACCTTAATCCGTAATCTCGGAATCCGTATATCAAAAGCCCCAAATGAGTCGAATCCGTAATCCAAGATGTAATCCGTAATCCGGTTCAAAGCATGTATGGGACGGCGAGGTTTCCAATCTGGGAATGGGAGAAAGTGCTTCGTCGGGGTTTGGGGGTGGACATGCCAGAGCAAGCCCCCGCGAAGAAGAAATCAGGCTGAAAGTGCTTCGTCGGGGTTTGGGGGTGGACATGCCAGAGCAAACCCCCGCGAAGAAGAAATCAGGCTCAAAGTGTTTCGGCAGGGTTTGGAGGTGGACATGCCAGAGCAAACCCCCGGGAAGCAGAAATCACGCTGAAAGTGCTTCGGCGGGGTTTGGCCGTGGACATGCCAGAGCAAACCCCCGGGAAGCAGAAATCAGGCTGAAAGTGCTTCGGCGGGGTTTGGGGGTGGACATGCCAGAGCAAACCTCCGGGAAGAAGAAATCAGGCTCAAAGTGCTTCGGCGGGGTTTGGCGGTGGACATGCCAGAGCAAACCCCCGGGAAGCAGAAATCAGGCTCAAAGATGCTCAAAGTGCTTCGGCGGGGTTTGGCGGTGGACATGCCAGAGCAAACCCCCGGGAAGCAGAAATCAGGCTGAAAGTGTTTCGGCGGGGTTTGGCCGTGGACATGCCAGAGCAAACCCCCGGGAAGCAGAAATCAGGCTGAAAGTGCTTCGGCGGGGTTTGGCGGTGGACATGCCAGAGCAAACCCCGGGAAGACGAAATCAGGCTGAAAGTGCCTCGGCGGGGTTTGGCGGTGGACATGCCAGAGCAAACCCCGGGAAGACGAAATCAGGCTGAAAGTGCCTCGGCGGGGTTTGGAGATGACATGCCAGAGCAAACCCCCGGGAAGAAGACATCAGGCTGGAAACGGCGGGGTTTGGCCGTGGACATGCCAGAGCAAACCCCTGGGAAGCAGAAATCAGGCTGAAAGTGCTTCGGCGGGGTTTGGGGGTGGACATGCCAGAGCAAACCTCCGGGAAGAAGAAATCAGGCTCAAAGTGCTTCGGCGGGGTTTGGGGGTGGACATGCCAGAGCAAACTCCCGGGAAGCAGAAATTAGGGCGAAAGTGTTTTGGCGGGGTTCGGTGGTGGACATGCCAGATTTCTGCTTCCCGGGGGTTTGCTCTGGCATGTCCACCGCCAAACCCCGCTGGAGCACTTTCAGCATGATTTCTGCTTCCCAGGGGTTTGCCCTGGCATGTCCACCGCCAAACCCTGCGGAAGCACTTTGAATCTGACTTCTTCTTCCCGGGGATTTGCTCTGGCATGTCCACCGCCAAACCCCGCCGAATCACTTTCAGACAAATTTCTTCTTCCCGGGAATTTGCTCTGGCATGTCCAGCTCTCAACCCAATTCATTCGTATGTCTTCCAATTCATTCGTATATCTTCCAATAAAAATATCTGAGCCCCGATTCATTCGTACGTCTTCCACAATTCATTCGTATATCTTCCAAAAAAATCTGAACCCCAATTCATTCGTATGTCTTCCAATTCATTTTCGTATATCTTCCCCCAAAAAAAATTGAACGCCAATTCATTCGTACATCTTTCAAAAAAAACTGGACCCCAATTCATTCCTATGTCTTCCAATTCACTCGTATATCTTCAAACAAAAAAACTAAACCCCAATTCATTCGTATGTCTTCGAATTCATTCGTATATCTTCCAAAAAAAAATCTGAACCCCAATTCATTCGTATGTCTTCCAATTCATTCGTATATCTTCCAACAAAAAAACACCAATTTATTCGTATGTCTTCCAATTCATTCGTATATGTTATTTTCCAAAAAAAATCTGAACCCCAATTCGTTTGTATGTCTTCCAATTCATTCGTATATCTTCCCAGAAAAAATTAAACCCCAATTCATTCGTATGTCTTCCAATTCATTTGTATATCTTCAAACCCCGCCGGCGCACTTTCAGCTTGATTTCTGCTTCCCGGGGGTTTGCTCTAGCATGTCCACCTCCAAACCCCGCCGAAGCACTTTCAGCCTGATTTCTGCTTCCCGGGGGTTTGCTCTGGCATGTCCACGGCCAAACCCCGCCGAGGCACTTTCAGCCTGATTTCTGCTTCCCGGGGGTTTGCTCTGGCATGTCCACCTCCAAACCCCGCCGAAACACTTTCAGCCTGATTTCTGCTTCCCGGGGTTTGTTTTGGCATGTCCAGCTCTGACCCCAATTCATTCGTATGTCTCCCAATTCATTCGTATATCTTCCAAAAACAAAATCTGCACCCCAGTCGTATGTCTTCCAATTCATTCGTATATCTTTCAGAAAAAACTGAACCCCAAATCATTCGTATGTCTTCCAATTCATTCGTATATCTTCCCAAAAAAAAACTGAACCCCAATTCATTCGCATGTCTTCCAATTCATTCATACATCTTCCAAAAAACAATCTGAACACCAATTCATTCGTATGTCTTCCAATTCATTCGTATATCTTCCAACAAAAAAACTGAAGACCAATTCATTCGTATGTCTTCCACAATTCATTCGTATATCTTCCAAAAAAAACTGAACCCCAATTCATTCGTATGTCTTCCAATTCATTCGTATATCTTCAAAAAAAATTGAACCCCAATTCATTCGTATGTCTTCCAATTCATTCGTATATCTTCAAACCCCGCCGAAGCACTTTCAGCCTGATTTCTTCTTCCCGGGGGTTTGCTCTGGCATGTCCACCGCCAAGCCCCGCCGAAGCACTTTCAGCTTGATTTCTTCTTCCCGGGGGTTTGCTCTATTTTGCTCTGGCATGTCCACCTCCAAACCCCGCCGAAGCACTTTCAGCGTGATTTCTGCTTCCCGGGGGTTTGCTCTGGCATGTCCACCGCAAAACCCTGCCGAAGCACTTTCGGCCTGATTTCTGCTTCCCGGGGGTCTGCTCTGGCATGTCCACCGCCAAACCCCGCCGGAGCACTTTCAGCCTGATTTCTGCTTCCCGGGGGTTTGCTCTGGCATGTCCACCTCCAAACCCCGCCGAAGCACTTTCAGCCTGATTTCTTCTTCCCGGGGGTTTGGATTTGCTGCGCCCGAAAAGTAAATGCTGTTTGAAAGAAAGAAGACCCCAAAGCATTTAATTTGAAATGGTTGATGTGGAACCTGTGCCCCGGTCCGCGGGCTAATCCGTAAACCGCTAATCCGTAAACCGGGTAATCATTAAGGCTTAACTGATTAACTTGGATCAGGCTAGGTTATTATGAGAACGTTGTGCTGCTTCCGGGAAATATATCATTTTTTCATTGTCCGCAGTGAGTTCGCCACAGTTACTGCTGGTTGTCTTTGGGGTTTGCCACAAAGGCTGAAGTCACTGGGACAAGAAAAAGGTGGTCTATCCCACAATACCCAGCCATGTCAAAGTCTCCTGCATCACGGAGCACTTCTCAGAAAACCCCTGAGGTGTTTCTCTGATAAACAAACAATAAGCCAAGAATCATTTCTGGTTTCCTGATATTTCATGATATATATATGATATTTCCACAAAAAAACTCATGATCTACTGTTGAGATCTGTTGAGACCTTTTCGTGACATTCAAATAGGGTCATGACATGCTGGGTCACCAGTTCTGTGGGTTTCAGCCCGAGGTTGGGAAGCGCCAAGCCGATGGGGCTGTCCTAAAGACATTAACTTAAGAATGGTGGTTGCTTAATGGTCCATTTATGTTAGTTGCCAATAATTCAATAATAGTTCATCCTTAGCAACATCCGTACATAACGTTTTTTTAATTGTTAATGATGGTGATCAATTGTTAATATGCTGCTGTTAATTGCCTGTTTTCGGGGTTGATACTCAGAAAGGTCATTCATGCCACTCATGACCATATTTTCCCTAGTGGAAGAGCACTTCTGCACCAATATAGTATGAGTCCACACCTGCCAGGTGAGAGTTCTTAGATTTTATGTCAGCCTGCCCGCCTCTTCCTTCCTTCCTCCTTCCTCCGCTCCTCGCTGGAGCTCCATTGCAAGCTCTAGATCCGCAGTGTTCCCCGCCAGACCCCAACAGCAACCTGGATCAAAGCGTTCCCCGCCGGACCTCCACCGCAAGCCCCGGATCAAAGCGTTCCCCGCCAGACCTCCACCGCAAGCCCCGGATCAAAGCGTTCCCCGCCAGACCTCCACCGCAAGCCCCGGATCAAAGTGTTCCCCGCCGGACCTCCACCGCAAGCCCTGGATCAAAGCGTTCCCCGCCGGACCTCCACCGCAAGCTCCGGATCAAAGTGTTTGCCGCCGGACCTCCACCGCAAGCCCCGGATCAGACCTCCAACCGGCAAAGTTCCCCGCCGGACCTCCACCGCAAGATGTTCCCCGCCGGGCCTCCACCACAAGCCCCGGATCAGACTGTTCCCCGCCGAACCTCCACCGCAAGCTCAGGATCAGAGCGTTCCCCGCCGGACCTCCACCGCAAGCTCAGGATCAGAGTGTTCCCCGCCGAACCTCCACCGCAAGCTCCAGATCAACGTGATCCCCGCCGGACTTCAACCGCGAGCTCTGGATCAGACTTTTCCCCGCCGGACCTCAACCACACAGAATCTTCCAGACAGAATGCCAGAAAGAATGTCAAAAGATATGCCAGATATATTCCAGAAAGAATGTCATAAGTTGTGGCGTATATCAGGGTTCTTTCTTGATGTCGCTTGGCAACTACATTTCAACCCAAAGATACTTGATATGATTTCAACAGAATGCAGCAAGCATGTGACATCAGATAAAAAATGCTGTTCATGAGTCTTGCAATGGGACTTGTAGCTGAGGGTTTGTACTAGGGCACTACTAGAGCACGGAATGCTTTGAAATGCCATCGTGGGGATCACTCGAAGTGAAGTAATCTTTGGGAGAGCGGGGAAGCTGTGGTATTTCTGTTGGCCCTGACATGAATCAAATCCCCACTATACCCCCACTACCCAAAGGGACAGCGCCACCGGAAAATACTGCAGCCCCCTTCAGCCAATTTAAGTGTAGGGACAAGTAAACATAATACCCTATACAAATTCACCATTAAACAAATCCCTGAAGATTTCCCCAAGGAAAATGATGGCAACAAACCCCATGGGAAAGAAATGGAAACCGTCCTGCCTTACAAATCTCGATTAAGATGTCTTTGATTCGCGCACGAGCTTTCGGTCGTTCATAGGGCTTTGTTGAAGCATAGTTGTTCAGCGTCCCCAAGTCACACCATTCCTGGATAATCCACATCCTCAGATCGATCACCCCAAGATGTGGCGATCTGGACGATTTTCCCAGATTTCCGTGAAATCACTATATATATATATATATATATGTAAACAGAAAAAAAGTAGATAAAACCATGTCAACCACCACATTCACAGATTTCTCAAATTAATCTCCATATAGTTTTTCATGGTCAATCTTTGATAGTCCACAAACACATTTTGTTTTGCCGGTTTGCTGGTTATTTTCCATTGGAAAAAAAACTGAAGGATTAAACTACCCATCCAAGGTTGGGGATTTATTCCCGTTAAATCCCAATTAAAGTATCCCAAAATAGCGGTGAGTTACTTCTCTACCAAATGCTGGCAAAACTCTGTATCAATTTACAATTTCTCAATCTTTCTTCAACCTCTAGGCCAAGTAAGGATTCTGTTTCTTCTTCCTGGTTGACACTGCGATTCCGACAATTCACAGGTCACAAACATTCACATCAAAACCCAAGCGCTAGTAGAACTTTGTGCTCAACCATCACGTCAAGATTATGTAATGTATATCTATCTCTTGACACCCCCATGTTATATGTATGTATGTAAATATATATATATATATATTTGCCCACACACATATATATATATATATTACAATATATATATATATATATATATATGGGTAAAGTATTATAATATAGTTCACTAACCTGAAATAAGGTTATTTTGGGACGATTCCTCTTATTAACCATGATTCCAGTGAGGTCGCAGTGAGGTCGTTATAATTTACCCAGGTATCTATCAAATTTATATAAATATGATTGTCCCCCGAAACCACGGTTGCTTCAGTACAATTTATGGTCTGCGCTGTCTGACATGATGTTTTTTGTGGGCCATTTCAAGACATTTCCATCTATATAACTGATGTACAACATATCATATGTATATACAACATATATCATTATATCATTAATATACATATCAACTCTCAAACAGATTTGTCAAAGAAACATTTCCGCGTAAATTGCGGTTCCATCTTTTGGGGGGTGTCAAATCTGGGTGAATCTGGGTGAAAGTGATCATTCAATAGGCTGAAAATAGCTGAAAAGCTTGGCCAGTTAAATCTGGGATGATTCCCCGAATTCTAAGCCATGATTCCAGTGATGTCACGGGGTTTAGTGGTTATAATTCATCCAGACATTATGCATATAATATCATGTAATACTATTTAAAAAACACTTGAAGTTTGTGTGCACTTCACCTCACGCTGTGTGATTGGCCTTAAAAAAGTATGCAGTGAGATTCTTGGCAGGTGCCGTATAGAAAGTCTGGTTGGTGGTTGAGCCACCCCTCTGAAAAATATGAGTTCGTCAGTTGGGATGATGACACTCCCAATAGATGGAACGTCGTAAAATTCATGTTCCAAACCACCAACCAGAAGTGTACTGTCTATGTATTTTCCAAAAAAACGATTTTTGCTGCAGGTTGCTAGTGGTTCACCCTCATCCTAGCTGGTTCGTTGTGGGGAAACAGTCTCCCCACTAAATGGAATCAGCCCACGACCACAATTCCTAGGGACCCCAAAAAACCAGGGTTATCCAAATACTTTCTCCGTAGGATGATCCTCCCACTTAATAAGCACAACAACAAAAATTGGTTATCAACTAATTACTTTACTTCGTGTGATCCCCACCACGACATTTATACATTTTCTTACTGGCAAATCTTCTGGCATATCTTCTGCTATTCTATCTGGCAAATCTTCTGGCATTCTATCTGGCATATCTTCTGGCATTCTATCTGACATATCTTCTGGCATTCTATCTGGCATTCTTCTGGCATATATTCTGACATATCTTCTGGCATTCTATCTGGCATTCTATCTGGCATATCTTCTGGCATATGTTCTGGCAAATCTTCTGGCATTCTATCTGGCATATCTTCTGGCATATCTTCTGGCATATGTTCGGGCATATCTTCTGGCATATCTTCTGGCATTCTATCTGGCATATTATCTGGCAAATCTTCTGGCATTCTATCTGGCATATCTTGTGGCATTCCATCTGACATTCTATCTGGCATATCTTCTGGCATTCTATCTGGCCGTTGAGGTCCAGCGGTGCACACTGAGCGGGGCAGGTCCCAGGTTGAGGTCCAGCGGTGCACACTGAGCTGGGAAGGTCCCCGGTTGAGGTCCAGCGGTGCACACTGAGCTGGGAAGGTCCCCGGTTGAGGTCCAGCGGTGCACACTGAGCTGGGCAGGTCCCAGGTTGAGGTCCAGCGGTGCACACTGAACTGGGAAGGTCCCAGGTTGAGGTCCAGCGGTGCACACTGAGCTGGGAAGGTCCCAGGTTGAGGTCCAGCAGTGCACACTGAGCTGGGAAGTTGGCAAAGAGCTTGGCGAAAAGAGTTGGCAAAGAGCTTGGCGAAGAGTTGGCAAGGCGGAAGTGCAGGTGGAAGTTGATGCAGACATGGTCGAGGAGAAACTAGAGGAGGAGGATGAGGAGGAGGACGAGGAGGACGAGGAGGACGAGGAGGACGAGGAGGAGGACAGCTAGCCGAGGAGGAGGAGAACAACTCTGATAAAATCTAACAACCCTCACCTGGCAGGTGGGGAACTAAGTTTAGGTTTTTAGGTTAGGTTCCCCACCAACAAATGGGATCTTAAATAGGATGATCCCACTTAGATACTTAGTAAGTCCCCATTTAGAGATCCCATTTGGGGAAACCTGGGAAACGAACGATTTTTGAACTTTGGTGAAACGTTCACCACAAAAACGATCTGTAGGATGATCCAACACATTTTTCACAAGTTCTCTTAGCTGGTGAGTTTCCCGCACCCATCCACTTGGGATATGGTTGGTGGTGTCAACTCCTTCGAAAAATGATGGAGTTCGTCAGTTGGGATGATTATTCCATTCCCAATATATGGAAAGTCATAATCTAAATGTTCCAGTCACCACCATTTCCAAAAAAAACCTAGATATTCTCATTGAAATTCTTATTGGTGCGTTTTACGTAGGGAATCATCCCATTCCTCCATTCCCTAAGCACCAGTAAGAACCCGTCGTTGACCGATCGTTGGGCCGCTGCCCGCGATGAAAATCGAGGCCGAGTTTCTCCTGTACCGTTGCTTTTGATCCAACATCCTGGGTGATGGGAGAGTTAGGGATACCCATGATTTTCGGGTGATCAATATTGATGTTATGAGATTTTATGACGATTAAGAGGGATTTGTTGGTGCTTAATAGGGATGTAAGGAAACAAAAATGATAAGATATCAATGGGAATTCCCCCAGATAATGTTTTTCTACACAAGTATGGAAAATGATGGCCCATGAATTGTTCGATGATTCAACGTCTTTAGAAAATGTTTGTTTTTTTCTTTACCAAAGGGTAGTTCAGAATATTTGCTGGATTTGTGGCCATTTGCCCATTTGTTTGGGACCCCATTGTTGAAGGGTTGATTAATATGACGGTTTGCCAAAATGTTTTTTTCCACACTAGTTATCAACAACTAGTGCAAAACTTCTGTCAACTATTTTTGGCAAATGGTCATATGTGGTTCATACGTTGCAAAAGTTATATCTGACCTGCATGTTTTCAAACGGACAGGCTTCATTGCATGTAGGGATGGAGAACCCCATGGTTGAAGCCACCAGCCCCCTGAAATAAACGATTCCTAGCCACATTCCCAATGCAAAGCTGATCATTTCAATGGGGTGACTTGCGGACAGTTCGCACCGAGCGACTCGTGTGAAGAAAGTGTAGGTCTGAACCAGATTAGGATGCCGAAGTTTGAGACACAGCTCAGCCTCTCTGACCGGGTTCACTTTGGATTTTTTGTTCTGCCTTGGAGGGACGAAGGAGAGAGTTTCTACCCTGGAAAGAAACATCGCCACACATACAAAACAAATGACTCTTACTGGGACCAAAATGTCGTTGTCGTCGTCGTCATCATCGTCGTCGTCGTCGTCATCATCATCATCATCATCATCATCGTCATCGTCGTCGTCATCATCATCATCGTCGTCATCATCAGCACCATCACCATCACCATCACCATCATCACCATCATCACCATCATCATCCTCATCCTCATCCCCATCATCATCATCATTGTCATCATGATCATCATCATCATCATCACCACCATCACCACCATCATTTCATCATCGTAATCACTTTTACACATCATACACATCATGCACATCATACACACATTTTACACATTATACACATCATACACATTATACACATTATACACATTTTACACAGTATACACATTTTACACATGATACACGTACATCCATTTACATATAACATGCTTGTAACATGTATGTAATTTGAATCTCATATGTTTGGTTTTATTCCACAACAAAATCTGCGCAGAAAGGTGTCTAAGTTGGTTCCCGAAAAAAAGAGCCTGTAGCGGAGATACACATACATATGTGTATATATATATACATTAAACATCATGAAACATCATTAAACATCATTGGAAATCATTGAACATCATTAAACATATGTATGCTTATGATCTTATATGTATGGAATGAATGGGTCGGTTGGGTGGGATGGGTGGGATGGGTGGGATGGGTGGGATGGGTGGGGAGAAAGACGGTCGTCATGTCCCAAAGAGATTTGTGCTGCACAAGACGGGCAAGAAGGATGCACAAAGACAATTGGTGATGTGAAACAAAACTCCGAAACGCAGGTTTTTAGACATTTGGTGACATAAAATGTAGGACCTATTGCATAAACCCGCGTGACATTCATTTTGTGCTTCCCTGGCCAAGCAAAACCCAATTTTACCCCGTACAGATGTGTGTATATTTATATAATGCGTAAACAATGCAAAAAGATAGATAAACAATTGGATAGGTAGATAATTAATAGATAGATCCAAAGATAGGATAGATAGAAAAATAGATAGATAGATAGATAGATAGGATAGATAGGATAGATAGGATAAAATAGGATAGGATAGCTAGATAGCAAGATAGATAGATAGGATAGATACATAGGATAGACAGGATAGATAGGATAGATAGGATAGATAGGACAGAAAGGACAGATAGGACAGATAGGACAGATAGGAGAGATAGGATAGATAGGATAGATAGGATAGATAGGATAGATAGGATAGATAGGAAGATAGGATAGATAGGATAGATAGGATAGATAGGAAAGATGGATGGAAAGATGGATGGATAGATGGATGGATAGATAGATAGATAGATAGAAAGGATAGATAGGATAGATAGGACAGAACAGATAGGACAGAACAGATAGGACAGATAGGACAGATAGGATAGATAGGATAGATAGGACAGATAGGATAGATAGGATAGGTAGGACAGATGGGAGAGATAGGACAGATAGGACAGATCGGACAGATCGGACAGATAGGACAGATAGGACAGGTAGGACAGGTAGGACAGGTAGGATAGGATAGGATAGATAGGATAGATAGGATAGATAGGATAGATAGGATAGGATAGGAAAGGATAGCTAGATGGAAAGATAGATAGATAGATACATAGATAGATAGATAGATAGATAGATAGTTGGAGAGATAGATAGATAGATAGATCGACAGATAGATAGATAGATAGATAGATAGATAGAAAGGATAGAAAGGATAGATAGGACAGAACAGATAGGACAGATAGGACAGATAGGACTGATAGGACAGATAGGACAGATAGGATAGATAGGATAGGTAGGACAGATAGGACAGATAGGACAGATCGGACAGATCGGACAGATAGGATAGATAGGACAGATAGGACAGATAGGACAGATAGGACAGATCGGACAGATAGGACAGAAAGGACAGGTAGGACAGGTAGGACAGGTAGGACAGATAGGACAGATAGGACAGATAGGACAGATAGATAAGATAGATAAGATAGAAAAGATAGATAAGTTAGATACGATAGATAGGATAGATAGGATAGGTAGGATAGGTAGGATCGATAGGATCGATAGGATCGATAGGATCGATAGGATCGATAGGATAGATAGAATAGGTAGGATAGATAGGATAGATAGGATAGATAGGATAGATAGGATAGATAGGATGGATAGGATAGATAGGATAGATAGGATAGATAGGATAGATGGATGGATAGATGGACGGATAGGACAGATAGGACAGATAGGACAGATAGGACAGATAGGACAGATAGGACAGATAGGACAGAAAGGACAGGTAGGACAGGTAGGACAGGTAGGACAGATAGGACAGATAGGACAGATAGGACAGATAGATAAGATAGATAAGATGGAAAAGATAGATAAGATAGATACGATAGATAGGATAGATAGGATAGGTAGGATAGGTAGGATCGATAGGATCGATAGGATCGATAGGATCGATAGGATCGATAGGATCGATAGGATAGATAGGATAGGTAGGATAGATAGGATAGATAGGATAGATAGGATAGATAGGAT